GTATGTCAAGATCAAGGTCATCGGAAGGTGGGGTCTTTTTATGCACATTTACCTCAGAGAGTACTTTTCCATGGGTCGACACTCGAAAGTCGATTGTTTCTATCTCTGTCAGACGTATGCCAAGATGCCGAAACATTTAGTACGCGACAACGCAAATCTGTTGATCCTGTTTCGACAGGATGAAACCAATATGAAACACGTATACAACGATCACGTGAACACCGACATGTCGTACGAAAACTTTCGCGCGCTGTGTCGCGAAAGTTGGCGTCGAAAGTACGGCTTTGTGGTTATAGATGAGGACAGCGCACTGCGAAACGGCAGATATAGACGTGGATTTAACGACTTCGTCGTACTGTAGGGCAATCAGAACGATGAGTACCGCCGAGCAGGAGAGAACTGTGAAGGAGATCGCTAAAACGCGCGCGTCGATTCGGAAGAAACATCGCGCTCTGAAAACCGGTACCATGAGGGAGGAGATCGCTCTGGAGAGACGCTTCAAGCCGATAGTCGAACCGTTGAAACGCATCGCCGAACGCGTCGAAAACTCATCCGATGGAGCCGTTCTCGCGAAAACAGCGCGGCAAGGAGAGCGCTGACGATTACGATTATGACGACAACGACGACGACGACGACGACGACGATGTTTTCACAACTCAAGACGCATCATTGAAGGGGAAAAAGAAACAGCGACCGATCGAGACCGCAATCGGTTCCACGCCAAGAGAATCGCGCAAAATGCTTGGATCTAAACCGATACAGTCGCGAACAACTATCGCGCCGCTAGAAACAACGTCGACGTCAGTCCCGTACGTGGAACGGGAAGAAAAGGTGTACGAAGCGGATGAGGCGCCGATCTCGCTCGAAACGTCCGCGAGAGAGACTCTGCAAACGGAACACGGTCACGAGGCGTTGCACAGTAAATTAGGACCGTTGGGGCAAAAATACATAGGCGATCTTCTCGGTGGAGAGAACAAGCACGTGAACGATCACGTTTACGGAGTGTACGTCAGCGAGGATGGAGCTAAACTCGGCAACAAGCGATTCGACGTGAACAAGGACGATTCGATGATCATCGATGGAACGAGGTACGTCGGTACTTCTGGTCTGTACGAATTGATTTTCCGACAACTCCCCAACGATCTCGTATACACCAACAACGATTTGCAAACGTACAAGAGTATACTGCTGGCGACAAACGCGCACAGACGCGGTCGCAGCGCGAGTATGCCGATACTGGGTAATAAGGGTTACAAGTACAGTATGATTATCGGTCCGCTCATTCGCGGTGATAAGAAAAGAGGCGCGGGTGCGACCCGCGTCCCGTCAGCCATGCGAGTAACTGATAACAAAGTAGATTACGTTCACTGGGACGATCCCAACGAATTGGCAAATCGTCTTCGATTGCTCGATTCCTCTCGTCTCGCCGGCACACCGCTCACGACAACGAAATTCTTTCGATACTCGAGGAGCTTCGCGAGGCCGGATTCATTATAAATTAATCCGTTTTCACCGATCGTGTCAGCAGTACGGTTCGCACACCCGAGGACGTCATGTCTGTCAACAAATTTGGCATGTCTCGTGAGAGACACGAAGACGACGCAATCGCTCTGAACGAAGCGCGTTCGTCGATCGTATCTTTGCGGAAGTGCTCGACAATACGTTGAGACTAAATACTGATGGCGAATACGACGGACGCTCGCGTAAGATACGACGTATAGGTGAACCTTATGCCGAGAACGACGGGACGAGTAACAACTACGTGGATACTGCGATTCGCGCTGTCTCACATCGAGTGGAAGAGAGCGTGAAGACGTTCGAGAAGAGGATCGGAGAAATACAAACAACGCTTGAGAGCAACCAGTCTACAATGAATAAGCATGAACGTAGACTACAGGAGTTGTATGACCTGATAGGGCAAAGCGTGATGCACATGGCGAATAACAAGATACTCGTGGACGCGCAAGAAAAAAGTTGCAAACGTTGCAAACGTTGCAACAAACACTCGGCGAAAGAATTGACAAAAGAACGCTCGACATAAATATGGCCGTCGTCGATGTTACTAACACGACATCGAATCTGAAAACGTATATTGGCTTACACAGCAAACAGTATCTTATTCTGCAAAACGCTGTGAAAGAGTTGATAGCAGCGTTGCAAAATAAGCATGGAGAACATCCTCGATTACAAGAACTTCTCGAACTTATAAAACCTGAATAAAAAAAGGACGATGAGCGTCGAGAAACGAATACTCGTGGAGGAGCTGCACGCTCCGGCGCGGAAGAACTTTCCACGCCGACGTGTCATAGTGCGAGGATACGACGATCTGTGGCAGGCCGATGTGGTGGAAATGCGACCGTACTCGCGATTCAGTAAGAGTCACAAGTACATACTGACGATCATCGATGTGTTGAGCAAGTACGCGTGGGCTGTGCCACTCAAGAGCAAGGGTGGAAAGGAAGTGGCCACGTCCCTCTCCAAACTCTTTCGCGAGAGCAAGCGATGTTCGAAAAATTTGCAAACGGACAAGGGGAAGGAGTTCTACAACGTCGACGTGCGAGAAGTATTGCAACAACGTCGCGTCAACCATTACTCTACGTATTCCGTGATGAAGGCCTCGGTGGTGGAACGATTCAATCGTACGCTCAAGAACGACATGTGGAAGATGTTCACACTCAACGGATCGTACGTGTAGATCAACGAACTGCCGAATCTGTTGTCGAGATACAATCGTCGCGTACATCGAACGATCCGTATGCGACCCGTAGACGTGACGCCTGAGGCTGCCGAGAAACTCTTGAAAACGGTGTACAGTCGAACGAAGATAGCCGCTCCAAGACGATTCAAGATCGACGATTCGGTGCGCGTGAGCAAATTCAAAACGATATTCGAAAAAGGCTACACACCCAATTGGACTACAGAGGTGTTTCGCATCGCCAAGGTACAGCTGACAAATCCTGTGACGTATCTACTGAAAGATTATCGCGGACAACCAATATCTGGAGGTTTCTACGAGCACGAATTATCACGAGTCACCAATCCCGACGTTTATCTGGTGGAGAAGGTTCTACGTAGAAAAGGCAACGAGGCGTACGTAAAGTGGCTAGGAATGGATAAGTCGCACAATTCGTGGATACACAACACAGAAATATTGTAACACTTTATTATCATTATACAATAAAGGTGTTTACATGTAGTATTATTCTTGTTGCGGTACCCCGTAATGTCCCCACGGCAACGTGTTGCACGATTCGGGCCCGACGTATCGCTTGTCGTCGTGAGGACTGAGAGCGAGTTTCGTTTCGGACACGGTATACACCTCGTGCAGTCGCGAACGCACACAGAATTGCGATCTCGATTGCTCCGTCATATCGCGCAACGTTCGCGTGAAATCGTCGAACGTTATCGTTCTCTCGACTACGTTTCTCTTTACACCCTTCACCTTTTTCGTGTCGCTCTGTCCGAGCACCCTCGCGGCATACATCTTCGCTCTCAACCCTACGAATTCTACCATAATCACGCCACGATTCTCATCCTTCATCAGACCCGGAACGCTCCTGTTCGCGCGCGGCATACCGTATGCGTTGTTCTCGGCGTAGTCGCTCGTGTCGAATCTTTCGATGAAGCGTTTCATATCCTCGTAAATGTCGTCGCATGCGACAAAATAGATCAGACTGTCCGTGTCCGTGTACATTATGTTACAAAGACCGCGATATAACGGTACCATGTATTCGTAATGAAACTCGTACAATCGCGTTTTCGCTATCTCCAAGATGGACATGCCAACGTATATCGGTTTGTTGAGCATCACCTCGAGTTTCCGTAACTCGACGGCCATCAGATCTTCGGAGAAAACGCTTCTACTGTGAAAATTCGGCCTAGCAATTAGCGCTTCCGCTCCATACTTTCCATCCCAACGCGTCACAAGACGCACGTCAACGTGCTCGCGCACGTTTTCCATGGTTTTCCCGTACACCGCGTTGTTCATAAGCTTGTACATAGTTCTCTCGAATTCGTTGTTCGCACGGACTCTAAACATCGTATTCAATTCGATGTATCCACGCAGCCACGGCGATTGCGCGAATCGTAAAACGCGATGAATCTTAAGTATACGCAACCCATGACGTACACATTGCTGCAAATTGCGATAGTGTATGACGTAGCGCGACTTACGTGAAGCGTCGCTAAAAGCTTCTCGGTGACCTTGCCGGGAGGTGGGGCGCGCAACGGGCAGAACGGAAGATCCGCGTGGGCGTCGTGAAGTTCGCGCGGATACGCAAGATCCACCTCAAGAATGTAACCGATATCGGAATCTGCGGTCACAGGCATTACGTCTAGACTTTCCGCGTTGACGTCATCGACCCATTGAAACTGCGGGTACGGCAATGCTTCACACATAGCCCATCCGTACAGATTATTTACATCGTAGTACATGAGATACGTCGACTCTTGTAACGGATCGTATGACGCAAGATACTTATTGTTAGCTTGCGCGTATCTGTGGGAGCACTGACTCAGACCACCGCGTACACCGCGTTCCACAAAGAGGAGCATATCGACGTCGGTCAGCAGTTCGAATCGCACACCTGTGTATTTTAGCATCGCGTCCACGTGTACCCCGGTAACGTGTAATAATGAGCGGGATCCAAATCGTAACTCCGCATGCAGTTATCACGAAAATTCTCAAACACATCCGCCAACAATAGAACGTCCGTTTTCAAATATAAATCACTATACTCGCCGAGATTACCGATGCGGAAACGTTGCCACACAGTGACCGCGTGCTCGTAGTCGGTAACGCTGACGCTGTCGCCAGTCAACGAACTATAAAAGGCCTCGCGGGGCGGTAACTCTGTCTCACGTAACCGATCGACGCTATCGACATACTTGTACGGGAACACACCCTTGCGCGTGAGCACTTCGAAATCGTCGTCGTCGAGACTCGAGAACGCTGACCGCGTTATTCGCAGTTCGTTCTTGTCCAGATACGACACCAATTTCGCGAGGCTTGCGCTTAAAAACTTACACGAGTCTACAAATCGCAGCTTCACGCAATTGCGTCCCTTTCCCGACGACGTCTTCCGAACGACTTTCGTAAACGAGATGTACGTTTCTTTCGTCAACGGTAACAATTCCACTTTACCCTCGAAACCGTTGGCGATCTCTTCGATAATGAAATGCGCATCGTAACCCGAGAGATTGTGAGAGAACACCGGAATTACGAAGGAATTGTTGAAGTTTATATTGCAACGCGCATGAGCCGGACCCCTGTAACGTCCGGTTATGTGACAGTGATCGCGAACGCGCTGATCACTGGGCTCGAATGGCTCTCCGCATATGTGGCAACGATTCGCGTTCCAAAAGCTACGCATCTCATCTGACGTAAGCGACGGCATAGTCACGACCGCGCCCAGAGTCTGCTTCGCGCGATGCGCAAGGGCGTTCAATTCCCGCGCGAACCACGCCACGCAATCCTCACCGCGATACGATTTGTACGTCGTCGCATCCTCGTCTCGCACACATCGCACGTAATAGCCAACGCTGAACACTGTATGACGTTGATAGGCAAATGTGCTTCGCAATACACACTCACTCTCCTCTCGCTCCTTCTCCAAGGCGTACTCCAGATCGGCGTATACCACGTACGGAAGTCTCTCTTTTCGCTCGTAGTGACGAAAGCTGAGCCACCTGTTGTCCTCGTTCGGAAGAACGATCGCGCAGTCATTCATCCTTTCGCAATCCACATTGTGCTTGGACAATCTTTCCATCGAATGGAAATAATGCAGACATCTGGAAGTAATTTGATTATTATTAGTCTGCACTTCACATGTACTATCTCTCTCCCTCGTAATATTTACCGATCACAAATGTACTTCTTGTTATTTCGTTTGATAAACTGACTTCCGACCAATCGCGAAAGATTCCTTATCCACGCGAAATGGCCCACCTGGAGGCCGTATCGCGGATCCGACAGATAGAACAGATTTATGTGAACATCTCTTTTGCGTTCGGTGAGATACAGCGGAACGATCTTTCCATCCGGTTTGTCCTCCCTCGTGGTAAACACGTTGACGGATATCTCGTTCAGCCGTTCGAATTTTCCGATTTGTCGCAGATTCATAGGAAAGTTTATTCCATCGAGCCTCAGCACCGTTTGATAATCGGGATACCGATTCCGTCTCGTGGCATTCGTCATGACAGGATACAAAGCCGCAACCACCGTCCGCGCGAAACATGCGTTATCCGTCGATGGTACGTTCACGACCGCTTTCTTCTTTTTTACCTGTGGCGGCATATCGATCCAACAGCCCGCGCGCATAGGATTGCACATATTTACGTTGATCATTATATTCAGTATGCGCGACAGCGCCCACCCGCTGTCGCGCTCTTGAAACTCCTCCAATTTCGCCAATGTCGTCTCCATCACCGTGTCGTACCATTCGTACAGATCTGCGGTGCGAAACAGCTGTCGATTTTTCGTGACGATGCTCTTTACAGCGGCCTTTTCTAACGCAACGAATTTCCCATTGAACACCGTGTTGACTTTCACACAGTTGTGTCTTTCCAACTTCTCGCGTACCTTCTCCATCACCGTTTCTCCGACGTCCTCGAGAAATTCTCTAGGCTCGATGTAACGGAAATTGATTACCGCACCGGTGAATATCCGTCTCTGAAACGCAGTCTCCATCTCCACCCATCTGAATCCATCGTGACCGGCACCCGCGCGAACTACGCGACCTCGCAGTTCGGTCCTCGTTCCCTCTAACAGCACTATCCAAGTGACAAGGCAAGTGATCGTTCCGGTAGTATTCGGACACCTGCGACACTCATGCCTCAACGATTCCAAACACACCTCGCATCGACGATCCCACGCACGATAATCGTCCTCGTCGACGACATTCGCCGCGTTATCGATCAGCTCGCTCGCTTCGGGTTTTTCAGACATAATCGGCGTACCTCGCTTCGTTCTGGATATCTGAATCTCACTCGCTCTTGAATATGTACTTTTTCCTCATCGAGACACCATCTATTCGGTAGTATTCTACGCATATACGTCTGCGCTCGATTACTGAACCACAGCGTTGTCTCTATCCATAACTTTTCGCGCGAACAATTGGCGCCGATTTCTCTCCTCGTATAATAACTCGCGACATTCCATCGCGCATCTTCCTTCACCACACATTCGCATACGGTATATTTTTTGTTAATCGCCGTTTCATCCTGCTCTACATCGCTATCGTTTATCGACGTGCTCGAGGATACCGTCTCGTAGCAATATATATCCTCTTCTTCTTCGTCAATACGTTCTCTCGTACAATTAGTGGACCTGCTCATAACGGACCTCTACGGTAGACGCGATACGCGAAGCGACCAACGCCCGATCGCTCGCACTTTTATTCCTTCTGCGTCGCCCACGGGACGCCGGATGAGCAACCTGACGCACCTACGCGAAACAAAACTGAAAACAACATATCCTTGAACGCTTCCGGACTTCTCGTATGCTTGCCAATAAATGTATACCGTTCACAACAAGAGAAAGAAAAATGCTTGGCGGCGATAGATGACCTCATACAGACCACTAATAGCAAGGATATTGCGTAAACTCTACAACTCGGAACACTTACGATGAGGACTAGTCATACCAATAAATCTCGTATGCTTGACACTAATTTTATACCGTTCACATCGCGAGAGAGAGATGTTTCTGCGGCGATAGATGACCTTCTCGATTATTCCACTCTCTCTCCACGCATCACCGCGCGCGAGCGGCTTCTATGCAAACCGGTTTCCTATGCAAACCGGTTTCGACTCCCGGCGAGCCGTCGTTTTTATATTGTTTCCGCAGCTAGGTGTCGTCAAGTGTGTGTACCGCGTGACGTCAGACTGTCAGCCGCGCGAGCCGGGTTCGAGTCCCGGCGAGCCGGCTTTTTTCTCCGCGATTATTTGTTTCTCTCTTATGGTGGTTTGGGTGGGTGGATGGGGGGAGGGGGGATCCATGCGGCCCGCGCGTGCCATGACTCATGTAGCCTCTATAACCAGACCGATTCTGGAGCAAGAGTGGGGGATCGTGTATCTTTTGTTAGAAACACACACATGTTTACACACACACATGTTTACACACACACATGTTTACACACACACACATAAATCTCTTTGTTCAACCACGCTCTGCTAGGTACCCCCGCCCCGCTCCCCCTCGGAGCTCCCGGGGTAGAACCGGCCTATATAGTACGCACGCAGTGTGCGCAACTTATATACTCGGTTCTTTACCAT